CAACAGTCGAACAAGTACAGAAAAAGTCAAACGCAAGCTGAATACACACCAACTCAATCACACTTGATGAAGGAACTCTGGAAGAAGTGGAATTTTTCACTTTCAGCATCATCGTTGATGAACGTGAAGGAATGGATACAGACGTAGACGCAAGGATTTTCAAAGCAATGAAAGCACTCCTACCGTTGAAGATTATATGTAAATCTAAACAACTGTCAACCAGTATCAAAGTTACAATCTTCAATACGAACGTCAAAATATTTCTACTGAATTGAGCTGAAACTTGGAGAACGAATACAACCATCATCAGAAAGACATAAGCAATTATAAACAATCGTCTACACGAGATACTAAATGTCTGTTGTTCGAATATCATCAGCAACAGCCTACTATGAAAGAGAACAAACGAGATTCCAACTGAAGACGACCTTTGTAAAAGACGTTGGAAATAGATAGGACATACATTAATGAAATCACCAAAGTGCATCATAAGGTAAGTGCTAACATGGGATTCTGAAGGTAAACAGAAAAGAAGAAGGCTATAAAAAGGATGAATAAGAACTGGAAACAACTGACAAAGATTGCCAAAAACGGAGTTGGATCTAGAATGCTGGTGAGTGGCCTACACTTCACCATGAGGGGTAACAGTTGTAATTAAGCAAACCAAGATTTTGATCCGGTTCATAAAGTCAGTTGGCAGGTACAGACTACTAGCTTGTGGTCTTCGCAATTTCTATGATCTGTGATTAAAGACAATGAGTGGAATGTCTCAGAATCCGTCACGATTGCGCGGTTACACTCAATATTTGCTTTCCATTAGATAATGAGTTTTAAACTTATCTCATACTTTTCATCGCACAAATCAATTTTTCCTTGCCAATCATCTTTTTTTATATCATAATTACTTCTGCTTCCATTATTTGAATATTCATCTTGATATGGTAATGTGATGTACCATTTTGGACTGATAAATATGTTCTAGGTTGCTTTTAACTATAGTCTACAGTAATTATTCACGTTTGTTCATATTTGCATTGGCAAGATCTTTTATTTTCTTTGTACGTCATTGATTCACATCCTATTCCTTTCTTGTAAACATTGTCAATATCAATTAACCAATGGAATAACATGGAAGAATATTTTTAGTTATTACTATTAGTGTTATATGATCTACAGTCATTTAGTAAGAAATATTATGATTCAACTGTCAAAATAGTTTTTTTTTTCAGACGAACAGGTTTTTAATACGGTGTATAAAAAAAATCTGTAATCCATGTCAAACGATCAAAATATACACTGATTGTTTATAGAAAACTTAATAGCATACATTTTATTAAACCATGCAAGTGTATTCTATAAGGTAATTAAACCAAATAGCTTTATAGATTACTGAAATGAGATGTAGAATAGCGTAGATGAAAGAAAAAGAATGAAAAGAGCAACAACATTACTACATATAACTAATATAAATTAACTTGTCAAAAGGTATCCATTTTCATCAATTCATAATGATTCATTCTAATTTTTATCAAGATATGAAATGAATAATTCCAGGTTGTAAAATAATTCAATGACTGAAATTTAATTTTAATAGTTGAGATCATGAGTCAGTTGAAGCTAGGCCAATATGGAAAACCTGTGAGCACTGGATGACCTTTTCGTCCTATTGAAGGACTCCTCCATGACCTCGCCTCGTGAGACTCGAACCTAAGGCCAATCAGTCTCGCGCGCGAGCGTTTAACCACTAGGCCACTGAGATGGTTAGTGTTAATGTCTAACTTTGACTAATCCACAAAATTGAGTAATACATTCACCATCATCATCAGTCAATTACAATCTTACAACAAACCCGGTTGAACTTCACTGGCCACTGTTGAAATTTAAGTTTGAAAACTACCTCTTTATGAATATAATTCTGATTCATAGATAATAATAATAATAATCTATTACTAATTAACAGTTTTCTATTATTTTCACTTAGATATAATCAATGAAAACGATAGATAAGGTAATAAATTAGCTAAAATGTAACATAAGCGATTAGTTACAAAATATTAAATGTTATTTACGTTTGATAGTTTTAGATACATATTAAGATCTGCTAGATAGAACTATTGTAACCATGATACATATGATTACTTCTTATAGGCTTTCTCCTCTTGTCCTTAATCTAATTAAAATTAACTAATATAAGTTATACAGAAAGTATAATCATTATAGATTATTGAGTTAGAATCCTTTGGTTATCATTTTTTTCCTCTCTAGGGAATCTATGGTGATAACATTGAATATTATCCTATAAAGTATTAGAATAACTTATTCACATTAATTATTTGAATTGTTGTTTAATTAAAGAAAATAAAAATGTGTTATACATATATTATTTATACAAGAGATTATCTCTACAATGATGTTGGTCTTCTAGAAAATAAAACAAGTAAACAGCTAATTTCTTTTTGTGTATGTCGGTTGAATAGAATACATCATTCGGTGAATTTAAATGAACAAGTAGAAAATATTGTTTTTAACATTCAAATGTTGATGACAAATATTTTATAGTTGAATATGATAACACAATATTGGTTATATAAAGATTATCTAAATTTATGCCTAGTCTAAACAAAATAATAACAATAATATATTTACATTATATAAAGAAGGAATTTATGTTGTATTTTGTTGTGACTACAATAGAAACTTGTATGGGGCGGAAAATTGGAGAACCACAAAAGTCATCATCCAGAAGATACAAGCGTTTATTAACAGTTGCCTAGGCAAACTACTTCGGATCCATTGGCCAGACAATATCAAGAACAACCTACTGTGGGCAAGAATAAACCAGATCTCAACGGAGGAAGAAATCATGAATAAGTACTGGAAGAAGGTAGGACACATTTTAAGGAAAGCACCCAACTGAGTCACAAGGCAAGCCCTCACTTAGAATCCTCAGGGCCAAGGGAAAAGAGGAAGACTAATGAACACATTACGCCGAGAAATGAAGACAGACATGATAAAAAAGAACAAAAATTGAATAGAACTAGACTAGAAGACCCAGGACGGAGTGAGTTGGGGAATGCTGGTCGGTGGCCTATGCTCCAGTGGGAGTAACAGGCGTAAGTAAGTAACACAACAAAAATTCTATAAAGTATTCTAATTCAACCACTGTAGGAAACAATTTTAAAAAATTGTTAAACGGTTTGTTTCCATTATAATTTACATTGCAAGCAACTTGTTGTTTACTGCTAGACATTTCTTTAAATATTAAATCCTGTTGACATCTTAAATTAATCAAATTTATCAGTTTGCATGTCATTGAAAAGTTAAAACAACAGAATACACTATGCATGTGTTATGTAAATCCTCTGCCTGCTATATAAAAAATTTATGGATAAAATTAAACTGAATACTTTCGTCTAACGTCATATCATATTTAATGTTACCATAATTCAGTGCATAGAGCAAATAGAGTTCCTGCATTATAATATCTATAAAATATAACTATTGAATTGTATTTCATTGAACAAACTAAAGTCAACATTCATTTTTGTAATGGTTGTTTGAATCTACCCATTGATGTTAGAACTGCAACTGATCAGTTCTGCAGTAAATATCAATTTTCGGATGCAAACACATCCTTCTGACAAGTCCCAAATAGAAGGAGACGAGCATCCTGGATTCTACTGCTAGTCACCGTCCATCTCTACTTAAAATTCAACACTGTTAGATCTAAAGCTTTTTATTGAATTATTATTTGCAAACTATTAAGAACTGAATTCTCGTTCTTAATTTTTCTAAATAATTTTTAACCTGATATTTTTTCAGATATATATTTAAACTCATCATTTCTGGCTTCTGGTTTGATTGCGCTTGGTATCGTTCAGATATAAAAATGTTACGGATAAAAGAGTTGTCAAACCCTGAATATCTGGCTGGTTTTTCACAACACATTTTGTCTTTTACGGAGCCTTTATATACCAGAGGCTAGTGAAAATGTCGCGGTATCAGTGTGCGTGTTTTAAAATACATTTTTGGTAGGCAAATGCAACTCAGATTTTAAAGAAAAACGAATTTATCAACATTCTTTCAGCTGTCTTTATTTAACTTTACTCAGCGTAAACGCCTTAAAAATAAATAAAAGCTGTTTGAAAAGTTTTGTCATCAATAATGGTTTCTTGAAATCTTGATTAAAATCACAATGATCATGGATGTATGAGCTAGACTTCTGCATTTCTCGGTAATTTAATTATAGTGTAGTAGTGACCTAAGCCATATAAACTTTTGTGACTATGATAATGTATTACTACTGACGAATTCGTTGGAGGCTTGTGGGACCATTTTAGTATAAAAATACAGGCTTGCAAAAAGTAGTAACAATGAAGGAATTATTAAAACTTATATACATGGCATTACACAAATATTTAGTTTTTCTAAGAAATCCAAGCAACTAAAATAGTAGACTCAAACAACTACTTTACTATGTTGTAGCTCAGAAACTTCTCGTATGCATAATAATTCCTAAGACCAGTATAAGCATTTCATTTTTGGTTCATTTTTATTTGAAAGTATGACAAAACAAGATGAGGTCACAACTCTTTAAGTTCAAAATGTTCAAACTTTTATGTTGCTTAAGCATTTGCAATAGTATGATAAAATGCAATTTTATTACCAATAATCAAGTTGCGTTTTCTTTTCATTGATCATGACCGTTACATAACTGTAAGAAACAAAATAGCTGGGGTGTTGTATATTTATAAATGATTGTTCCATTTATAATTTGGTCGGAACACATAATGAGCTTTAAAAGCGAAGGAAATATTTTGGAAACTTTATGACATATACCTATGTACTGAACAGCTATATCTAGTAGCATTCACTGTGTTTCGAAACAAATGTTCAGCCAAGAGTTCTTATAAATAATTGCGTGTAGTAAGTTAGAGCGTACACAAATTTATTAAGCCTAATAGAAACGTAAAAAAGCAGGTTTTCTTAACTTTACATACCTCAAAGTAAAATCCGAAACATCGTCAAAACGTTTCAGACGAACAGTTACCAAAAATTCCTCATTTGTTTTTAATTCCCTCCTCGGGATCTGTAACAATAAACTTCTTCCTAATTCACGAATAGCATCTGGGACTGTATGTGCAATGTTAACTGATGGGATAGAAACAAACGATAACTTGACGTGATTTAGTGACAAGTGACAGCGCTTAAAATTATCATGATTATCATGTTTTTGTTTGACGTTATCCAGATTCGAAATAAAACCCGATGACGCATATGCAAGAGTAACTTCTGGCGACTGGTTCTGCTTCCAAAGAGCTTGTGGAAGTTGAATTGATGCATGGCATATCCAGTTTTCACTAACACGGTCGATAATCAGAACACAAGATGTCAACTCGTTAAAGTACGAAGCATTTATGGATATAATGCAACACATACTGCTCGATTCAAATGCTAATTCACTGACTTTACCATAGTAGACTGCATGACATAGAAAGTGCAACGTTTTTGTCTCTTCACTTATCTCCATATCAAAACTATGTACAGTCACATGAAATTTTGAATTTTTGATCAGCTTATCACCCAAGACAGTTAAAGAACTGTGCAAAAATCCTATCGATGCATCGATCTCATAACGGTCCAAGTTGCTTGCTGATGCAAAAAATGTTGAAGAATTATATTTAAGGCTTTGATTGTCACTGATCAGAAAGGCAGAATCTCGTTGACCAAATGTTATGTCGATCAAGTCATCGGTGTAGGCTAAAACTATAGATAATGATTATCGGCTCTATGATTTACCTCTCACAAAAACAATCGGAAATAAGATATATGTGCTAAAATATAAAATCATTCTTTGATGATAAAGGCATTTCTGCTTCTTTTCCAAGCGATAACCAAACTGATATTTGGAAAGAGGAGCATTTAAAAGTTGATGTTAAATAGTGTGATCAAACAAACTTCATATTATCCTGGAAGTAAGAAGTATCTTAACTAAACGAGAAACTGAAACATTATTCACAGACATATGAATTGGTGTGTTGCAGGCTGAAATTTGAACGACGAGATACTGTATTAGTTGTAGTATAACGCATTTCAAACGTGTAGTATATGACTTCTTCCTAAGCAAGCTTAAGTCCTGGGGTAATAGGGGTAAATGCCGTATCGTAGGCGACCCTAATGCACCGTATATAAACTTGGTAAACTCAGAAGTAGGGTATTCGATAACGTCATTTGATCGCGAACTGTTAGAAACCGGAGTTGCACTAGCTTTATTAAAGCACATATGAGATCCCACCAGATGCGAATTACGAAGCTCCTCGTCTCTCCTGAATTTTTTTCACATACGATGATGATGTCGGTAAAATGAATTTCTTACCACCTGTAGGGAGAAGTGATCATGTATTCATCTTGTCTAAGTTCTTGGCAGAGATGGCCTGTCAAACAGTTACGCCGGCCCATCTTGATATATGGAAGGCAGACATGGAGGCGATAAACTCCGTATCATCGGCTGAAAAGTAGATAACTGACCGAGTGGCATCAATGGAAGGGGCACGGATTTATTTCAGGCAGTCTTACAATCAGGTAACTCAACCATATGTACCCCGAACAGTCCCAAAGAAGAAGAAGCACCTGCCATCCCTCGATAGGTCGGGATATTCGACGTTTACTAAGACAAAAGAAGAAACTTTGTAATGTTGCTATCAGCTCTGGTACAGTAGGTACGATGGAACGCTACAGATTGGTAAGAAACACGTGTATAATTAAAACTCGGGAAGCTCAAAGAAAATATGAAATGAAATAGGCACATTCTGCACTCAAGCAGCTTAAGTGACTATTCTCCTACATAAATTACAGAAAAGGGATGCATCATTGAACTCCCAACGTAATGAAAAAATGGGAATAAAGTTGAAATAATAGAGGAATATCAGGAAAAAGCAAGGGCTATGGATGACTATTTTGCGGTTGTTTTCACTCAGGAACCTCCTCCAGACCCAAATACATGGTCAACAAACCACCTGCTCACCGTGGACTTTGATCAAGACTATGTACTTAAGGCTCCTAGCATCTTGGACATGAAAAAGTCAACGGGACCAGATGAACGACACCCCAAAATCTTGAAACACATTGCACAATATGTCGCGACCCCACTGACTGTGATATTCAATATGTCACTTGACCAATGTGTATTACCTATGGACTGGAAGGAAGCAATCGTCACTCCTATACATAAAACAAGACCAAGAAGACTTCCATCGAACTACAGACCTGTAAGTCTCACCAGTGTTTTAGTCAAATATTGGAAAGAATAGTCAATAAGACCAATAACCTGCTAACCGGCAAACAACATGGTTTTAAACAGGTTTTATCAATGAAATATTGGATAAAGGCGCTAGACAACGGAAACTCAGTGGAAGTTGTCTACAGACTTCAGTAAGGCTTTTGACTATGTACCAACAAATAGACTGCTATTGATGTTAAAAAATCTTGGTATTACCGAACCTGTTTTAAAGTGGTTTAAGGATATCATAGTAGGTCGCTTACAGAGAGTAATAATCACTATTATAATAAAACGTGCTCCACCTAGAGACCAGTACTTAGTGGAGTACTTCAAGGTTCTGTCTTAAATCCTCTGCTTTTTATACTGTATGTAAATGATCTCCCAAGCATAGTACAGTCACCAATGTTATTATACGTTGACGATGTAAAACGTTGACGAGTAATAACTGAAGACATAGACTCATGTGCTCTTCAGGCAGACTTAAATAATATGATAAACTGGTCTAAATAGTGACTGGTGCCTATAAACGCGGAAAGGTGTGTTTACGTGCACTTTGGGGATTCAAAGGTTATTAGTTACAACATAGGGAATGTGCCACTACCCGTAGTTGGTCTCATAAGGATCTAGGGGTGACAGTGAGTCATGATCTTAAGACGACGGCCCGGGAGGTCGCAGCCAAAGGGTCTCGAACCATCTGTGATTTAAAATGGACATCCACTAAGTTAGACATTACCTTGTTCGCCAGAGTATACACATCTTTAGTGAGATCCAAGCTTGAAACCTGCGTTCAGGCTGTAAGTTTCTGTTTAAAATATGCCTCGGATATCCTGAAAAAGGTACAAAGGGCAGCTTCTCTTTCGTTTCCGGAACTTCAGGGTTTACCATACAAAGGGCAGTTTGAAAAGCTAAACCTCTTTGCTCTGTTCTATCTCAGATTAAAAGGTAATCAGATTTTGATGTATAGATTACAGAGAAATGATTTTAGATTTAATATATTCTCTCTTTTTCTTCCCGCTAGATCGGGACATTTCAAAGGACAAAGCATTCGAGCAAAAAAGTCAAGAACGAACAGGATACCCATGTTATACAGGTTTTCATACCGAGTCATCAAGTCTTGGAACCTGTCACCCGAGGCAGTGGTGTCCGTATCTTCAATTAACTCATTGAAGAGAAGACCAGACGCCCACAAAAGTATACTACAAAAGGAATATCATAGGCCATAGGCCCACTGTTCTTACCACATAAACCTGAATCCAAAAAATCCTTTACCGAAATGCCGAATTATTTTTCCGGCTGCCAGCTTGAATATCTGAGCTACCCGTTTCTGCCATTTGATTATTTCAACAAGTTATCAGAAGCATTCTAGAAAAGGAATAGCATAGTCCATAGACCTTCTGCTCTTAATACACAAATCTGAATCTGAATTATTATTAGCAGTAAAGATCAATTTCTCATTCCCGTTAGAAAGGACTCCAATTTTCGAGCTCAGTCGTGATATCCATTTATCGGACTATAGACGAAATGTCCATGAATCTTGGAATGCAGGTAGTATTTTATTCATTATAAGACTGTTTGAAAAATTGTTGACTGTGCAGAATATTCTTTTGTGAAACAATAATTATTCCTTTATAACAATTGATAACCCACTTCCCTTAGTGAGAACCAGGCATAAAAACAAACATTGTATCATTTGTATAAATTTGATCTTGCCTGTAAACTGGCATGCCTCATGTAACAAACTGTTATTTGAGAATAAATTATTATTATTATTATTATTATTATTATTATTATTATTATTCGGTAGTCACTTTACTAGAAATCAGCCTGACCTGCTATGTCGAACCTCAAACTTTCGAGTATTACCCCTGACATCTATGTTACGGCTGATGGTTCAAAGGATGCTTGCTGGTGTTTGGACGTGATAAAGTTCTCTCTAAAGCGTTTATGTTCTGAGTTATGAATATTAATCGGTTTAAGTCAACCCTCATATTTTTATAACTTAAGAAGGCTAGCAAATACTTTGCCCTATCATTAGATAGGCTTCAGAGTATTCTTATCATATTTTGGATTAAATGATGATGAACCGTTATCGAAAATACCTGATAATGTGCATTAGAGGTATCAGAAAAAATTAGGGCCTACAAGTATTTTCTCGCATGACCCAGTGTTTGCTTCAAAGAACTAAGACTTAAATGTTTTGGACTAATGACATTTTGCGCGGATTATCATTCAGTTTTCGACTCATAATATGATGCCGACGATCGACTGTCCGTTTTGTAGACTTAGTGATACGTCCTTTCTAATCAGCCTAAATTGAAAGTTCAGTAACAGTGTATTAAAGCACGAGCTACTTTATTTAGCTTCTAACAATTGTATAACCGGCGAACAGTTATATTCCAGATGACTTATGGACGTTTACCCTAATAACGTGTTGTCAAAGTCTCTACAATAATGATATGTCTTGAGAATAAATATAGAATTGGCTCTTGTTTTAAGGTTTGATCAGATTGATTTAGATGTATGTGTGATAATAGTAAATCAGTTGTGTATTGGCTCAAGCAAGCTTTTTATAACATTGACAAACAAATTGAACCAAACATTTCTAATCACTGTCTTTATAAACAGTTGGATTTGTTAATTATTCACTTATGACCTTGAACGAATCTATATAGGCGTGTGTCTGGTTATCACTCCTTGTAAATATTTGTATGTGTTTGGATGTGGGAAAATCCGTCGTGTGCTCGTACTATATGATATTAGTATTTTGTTTTCGCTTGCCCTCTGTGTCTACCTTCTCATCTAGTTTGTAAATAATGTTTATTCTTTGCTCAAGGAAAAGGTTTGTGCTGATATTTATTTACAATTTGGTTTCCTTCATCGCATTATTGGTTGACAGGTCTTTGGCATTGCGCCAACTTTGATTACGACATCCGCCATATATGTCCGTCGCATTTAAATTATTATTGGATGATGGGAACCCTTATTATGATCGTTTATTTTAAATGCTTGTCTGATTGAACATCTGGGCCACATGTTCCACCAATCTAGATATTTCAACAACTTATCTATTTTCGTTTGTTTTAATACATCACTTTGTCTGCTGGTCGAATGATCTGTTAAGGTGTGTTTATGAAAGGCGTACAAATCACAAAAGGCCGAATCAGAGTTAACGTTGTTGCTCGTAATATGCAGTGAAAAGAATGTACATTATTTTGATGTCGATTCACTGGATAACTAACATCTAAGTGACGATCACTCAATATTTATCTTCAGTATCGACCAAGAATTCCAAAAATATAATATTCGATAAAGCTAACGATAACAAGAATAATCATCGTTCAGTGGATTAGAACCGTTTTTTCTACTTGACCAAAACACTGTTATTTCCTGAAAAGTTGTTTAATCACATTTTGACGATTTGATTTACTGTATAGCCTATTTACTTAGATTTTACACTACCAAATTTCTTCATCAAGTCACTGTTTTAGTTATATCAATCCATGATCGTCACTGTTTAGAAGAATGAATCGCGTAGCTTACAGTTCTGGAACTCGAATATATTTCTGGTGGCTACACTTACTCTATTCGTTATCCTTATTTGCCTTCCTTTATCTGCCTGACAATAAATACTGGATCCC